CTCGAATTTTGGAGTGATAAACTCGAATTTTGATGTGATAAACTCGAATATTTAAAACCGGTTCCAACCTCTAGTCAGGCATCACTAATTCCGGCCGGAAATTAGTAAACAATTATGTAATGCGGGCCAAAATTTGAATATCCTCAATCAAAATTGAGGCGGCACCTAGGTTCAATCTGACGTCCGGTGTGATGCAATTTTTACATAGTGAAAAGTTGAAAATCACGTGTATTACACAATTGTTATATCACACGCCACATATAAATAATATTTTAAAATTTTGATCTACGTTATTTGTCACGCCGGGTACTTTAGTCAATGCGCCACGGTACTATTTCTGATTTTCGAAATAACGCTTATTATTATTCCGAGTCTATACGGTAACACTAACCCACTAACCCTAAAAATGCTAAAAAAAAGGATGCACTCCAAAAATTTATATTTTACGATGGCTTGTCTATTTGACAATATCACTCATTTCATTTTAATCTGATTTCATCATATTTATTACAACGCAGAAAAAGCAAAATTATGATGCACGAAAATTTTGCAACTTATTGACGCACTTATTTAGTGTAACATAACCTGCTTTTTCTATAAAAAGAAAATTTTGACCTCACGTATAAATTGCATCATAGATTTTTTTTTTTTTCTCAATCCTGGTAAATTTCGAAATGATATCATTGCCAAACGAATGTTTCCTTGAAATCTTTAATTACCTACAATACAGAAGATGTCTTCTGGTAAATCGTCAATGGTTTAGATTTATTGCACCAATTTTATGGAGCGAACCACTAAATTATTTTAGTGATGCAAGAATTATAAGTATATACCTTTCGTTATTAAACAATGAAGAACGAGCTTCATTAATCCCATTTGAAATAATACTTCCAAATGGACCAAAACCATTAATTAATTACGCTACATTTATCGTCTCTTATCAAGACTTTTATCATAATGGATCAATAGTAAATTGGATTTTTAATGAAGGTCGTGGTTCTCGTATTTCAAGAGATTATAATTATGAAGATTATAAGAATATAGTTCAAATAATCAAATGTTCTTTGATTTCAATGTTTTTACGAACAAGTAAAAAACTTAAATTTTTATCCTTTCAAGGTCATGATTATGGTATATTTACAAAGACTTTGGTAGAAACGCTTTATAGAAATACAACTATTAACGAAATTTGGATTGATTGTCTTGTTCTTGGTTATGATGATGTAAAAGCAATAGCTAATGCTCTTTTTAAAAATTCTACTCTCAAATCCTTAAGTATTTCGGGTAACAGAAGTCCTGAAAGTGGAAAATTGTTGGCTAAAGCACTTTACGAGAATACCACACTTTCATCTTTGAGCTTTTATTTTAGTCATCTTGGAGATGAAGATGGAAAAGCACTAGCAAATATTCTTTTTAAAAACTCTACTCTAACTTCTTTGGATCTTTGTAGTAATCAACTTGGTGTTGAAAGTTTAAAAATGTTGGCAGAAGCTCTTTGCAAAAATACCTCTCTGACTTTATTAAATCTTGGTAGTAATTACTTTGGCGCCGAAGGAGGGAAAGCAATTGCAGTAGCTCTTTACAAAAATACCACACTTGCCTCCTTAAATATTCAAAATAATCAGATTGGTGTTGAAGGAATAAAAGCATTGGCAGACGCACTTTGTGAAAACAACTCGTTGACCCATTTAAATCTTGAAGAGAATCAACTTGGCGCTGAAGGAATGAAGCTATTGGCAGTTGCGCTTTGTAAAAACACCTCGTTGACTTCTTTGGATCTTAGTGATAACCAACTTGATGTCGAAGGAGGAAAAGCATTAGCAAATGCTCTTTGTAATAACATCGGCCTTAAATCTTTAATTATTGCTGATAACGAATTTTGCCTTGAAGGAATGAAAAAGTTAGCAGAATCACTTTGTGAAAATTCAACTCTTACCTCTTTAAATATTCTTTATAATCTTATTAACGTTGATGAAGGAAAAGCATTAGCACAGGCACTTCGAACAAACTCATCCTTAACATCATTAGATATTACTATTTGCTCCCCTGATGGTGAAGATGTTGTAAAAGAAATTGCTAAAGCTTTACACGAGAACGTAACTTTAACTTCTTTAACCTTTTATTATAGTGTCTATGATGATGATTCTGTATATGACAATATTGAAGATACGTTGGAAGAGATTAAAGAAAAGATTAGAAAGGATATTGAAATTGATCTTAAATATGATTAGAAACTATTTTTGAATATTAATATTATTTTTAAATAGTAAACTAAAAAAAATTATGCGGTAGTAGAAACATTAAATTTTAGTCATGAATTTTTTATATACATCAGATTTGAAGTGTAAACCAATTTATCTGAACGATCAGATAATCCGAATTTTAATCAATACGAACACTAAATTTCTAAAAACATTATTAGTTTACAATCTATTATAATTTGTCAATTATTAAATTCATTAAAACATTTTTGTTTAATAAAATCATGACCCGTTCAACAAAAAATATTAATTAAAATGATATTTAAAATATTAAAGAAAACGAAATTTAATAATGCCTATAAGAATATTAAAAAAAAAAATCAAGACTTAAGTGCGTTGATTATTGGTTAGTATGAAAAATTTCAGTTTTATCTGTATCCAAAATTTACAATTATTATAAATTAGTGCATAATCTGATCTAAGCATCTGACAACGATGTTGTGCCCGATAAATTAATTGCTAAAGCTGTTCTTCTCAATGGTTTATAGAATGAGGCAAAAAAATAATTCATGACAATCGTCTAAGTCAAAATAAAACCTGAACCTAGGATAAATTCTATTGCTGAAGTTTATAATCCGCATTTCACATCATGGATTTTTGCGATCATTCAACAGCCTTTAACAGTACCTATTCAATTTTGATAGCAGATTACAAGAATAAATTTTCGGAAGAATTGCTACTTTCGGCAGATTTCAAATACCACTCAAATGCCTTCTTTTCATCCTTACCTATTCCATTAATGGTAAAGTTCAATAATAAGGATCACCGCCGTTGACTAATTTTAGATACTGTTTGATTCAAATCTATTTTTATCCATAGGCAAAGCCAAAGATTTTTAAATTTAAAGTTCATATTTATCATAATCAATCAGAATTCATTGCTTGCTAAAATGTTACCGTTACATACGTACATCGTACGTGTGTGTGTACGTGTGTACGTACATACGTACGTCATAAAAAATTCAAAGTACATTGTTTACATAAATGGAAATGAAATGAATTGCCGATGCTTTTTTTTTGCGAGGAAAGTTGTATTCTAAAAACATGTCTAAGTCTTTATGAGTTGATTATTATTGATTAACAGATCAGGTAGTCAATATGAGATACTATAAAGGTTAATATAATAAGCATCGCAAAAAACTATATATATGCGCGCATCAAAAAAGCAACTTGAATGTAATTTTTGTGTACCACGGGATGTGATCTCCGGTGTTCTATAAATAAGAGCAGATTTTAATAAGTTACTTAATTTTTGTTTACTGATACGTACATACGTAATATTATAAAGATGAAAATGAAAAGGAAAATGAAAACCACTATACCACGCTTAGTTACAGATGTCATTATAAATATATTTGAATATGTAAGCATTCATGATTTATTTTCGGTACTTTTAGTTAATCGAGAATGGTGCCAACTTGCCATTCCAATATATTGGAGAGCACCATTTAGTTATACGAAAAAAAGAAGCAAGCTCGCAATAAAGATTTACAAATTATTTCTCAAAAAAAATTCGCAAAAGTTTACAAATCAAAGTCTTCCAACACTGTATGATTATCCATTGTTTCTCAAAGAACTCAATTATACACACCTACTGGAGCTTGATAGAACAACTGCAAATGTCGAAACAATACTTAAAATGCTAATAAATCGTGGGATTCGTTTAAACGTATTTGTTATGGATAATACCGGTGCACTTGGAGAACACATTTACGGATTATGGACAGACTCATGTTATACTCCAATGTTCAGTTCTCTCGTTCATGTCAAAATACATGCTCCTTTTCCAAAGAATAGGGTAATAAAGGCATTGGCAGATAACTGTACTATGCTGGTATGTATTTCTAACGTAATTATTTGAATGTTAAATGTTTACAAAAATATTCATACAATAAATATATGTCGGTTTATATTTTCCAGTCACATATTGATATTAATCTTTATGATAACTCTCCTGATCGCATCAAAATAATGCTCAATGATCTTGAAAAACTTTTCACTGCACAAAAATACCTTTTAAATCTTCGATTGATATTTCACAATGGACCTGGGAAATCACTAATCAAAATATTTCAGTCACAACCTGAATCTTTTAAACGGTTGGAACTTGTAAATTGGAATTTTGACGAATGTGATTGGAAATGGTTGGAAAAATGTCCAAATTTGACAGAATTTGCAATAACCAATCCTCAAAATCAAATCTTGGAAATTTTAGGCACTAATACTGAAATTCTTAACTTTAAAATATCGAAGAAATCAATTTCGACTACACATTGGCATTTTAGCAATGATGATAAAATTTCTTCAATGCTAAACTTTTACTTTCACCCAAAACAATCATCGACGGATCTATATTATGATGAACCAATTGTGATCAACCCAATGAATTATACTGGAAGAAAGACAAAATCTCTTATTTTAAGCTTGAAATCAAATTATTATTAAAAAAAACCAATTTAATTAACTACTGGGTTTGGTCGATTTATTAGTCGATTCCAATTCTTATTTTTTTCTTGCAACGTATTTTAGCATGTTATAATATAGATAATAGTAAATTTTTATATTACAGATTGAATGGTTAATTATCGTCAGCGAAATATTATATAATTGGTTGAAGAAGATAATATCTTTTAACTTTAAATAAACTAAAGATATAAGAATGGTTTTGCCTTTAAATAAACCAGATAAATTTGACTCACAAAAAATGCTTAGTTAATAAGTTACCACAAAATAATAAAATGAATTATTAATTAATTACAGTAATTATACTGCGAAGACTCAAATATTTTTTACTGACATTTGTTTAAGAAATTCTGCTAATCTGCTAATTCTAATAAAAATTTTTAAAATTCTGCTAATCTGCTAATTCTAATAAAATTTTTTAAAAGCTTATCAGAAAATTTGTAAACAAATTATAGTCGATCCCAAATAGCTAATCAACTATATTTCATTATTTTTAATTAATGGTGGTGTAAATAATCGATTTATTGCGGTTTACAAAATCCCGTACCCTAAAAATTGACATCAAAAAAAAATTTTGATTTCCAATTTCCTGATTATATATATACTGTATTACGTTCGCCAAAGTACCCGGGTCTTTTACAAATTTGGGCATTTTAAAGCCCGATAAGGGTACTTTACATGTGTGAATATTTTTACAAAGTTATGTAATTTACTATTAACGTACTATAGAATTGTACTGAATACTCATAGCATTATATCCGGATATGTATACAATACTGGGCAAAAATTGTTGAATAACGGTAATTTGGCTCAAACGGGCAAATGATTGGCTGACATGTGCCGCGCAGCGGCACGTGTCAGCCAATCATTTGTCCGTTTGAGCCAAATTACCGTATTCAACAATTTGCCCAGTATTGGTGTTATCCGGCAATTTATGATCATGATTGGTAGGGAGTCGCTCGCTGAGTTTTATTTTTTGAATATTGGAATAACATAATTATATCGTAACACATGAAAAAATAACAAGAAGAAATTTTTTCATGATCATATGAGTTTGCCGGATAAATAATCATAATACATTATTAATAATTATAATAATTTGTAGAAATTTCAATATATAGAGTGCAGACAATAGAAACAGCTCATTTTTACATATATCTTATTTTGAGATAATTGAGTTTAATCATTTGTTTTGATTTTTGAACTGATCCAGGATTAATCAAATTTCACGATTTTGATTAGTCAAAGGTAGCAGGTGACTATTGGATAATCTCATAATATATTGGCTCTATAAAGCTTCATGTAATTTTCCTTTTACATTATCTTGATTTTTTATTATGCAAATCGACTTTCATTTATAATTGAAAAATATCAATCATGTCAAAATTTATATAAATATAACAAAAACTCATTTTTCAAAAAAATGTAAAAATAGGCTGTTTCTATTGCCTGCATCCTATATATGAAGCTATTGTCCCTAATCAAATATATATATTGGATCTTGGCCTCTTTAAATATATGCTAGATTTTACTAAAAATCTTTTACTTGAGCAGTGTGGGGGCCAAGTAATTTAAAAATTTAAACAATGATTAACGTTGGTTCCTAGATTTCAAGCTCTCAAAATAATGAAGAATATATCTGATATAACGTGTTTGATAGCTAATGAATTGCAAAATATAATGAAAATAATAATTTTCACATTAGATAATTTATATAATAGTTATAAAAGGCCGGGTGTTAACAATGAGGAGTTATATCAAGTCTATTACTAGTTCTTCTAAATGTATATAGCCACTCGGGAAGAATTGTTTACTAACAATTCTTGTAATCAACTTCAGATATATAATAAACACTTATCTTTACAAATGCTTTATTACAGTATTAATATATAATTTCATAGATATTCATTAAGGAGTAGGCCGAAAAATTCATTAAAATATTTTCAAAATATTCTAAGAGTAACCTCCAACTTCCAAAACTACATGCTTGGTGCCATCATATAGTACCCACAATTAAAGAATATGGGTTAGTAAATAGTACAGTCAACTCTCCATAAGTGCACTATATACAGACCACAAAAAATCTTGCATTTAGAGAGGTATTGTATTTAGGAGAGTAAAAATCTATAAGTGTATATATAGTAGAGCCACAGCAAGATCATACATTTAGAGAGGTCTTGCATTTATGGAGGTTGCATTTAGAGAGGTTTGACTGTATAACCACGGAAACCTATAAGACTTTTTATAAATCTTATATCAAAAACCTCTACCGAATGTCAAATAAAAAAGAATATATAAAACAAATAATAAAGATGGTAAGCTAAAAGGAAATTTTACAAAATTTAATAATCTTGTTAACTATCAATCATAATTGATAATTAACAAGATAATTAAATTTTGTAAAAAATGTTTCTTCTTCCAGTATTAACTGGATTCGCCTTCATTTCACTGATGGCTCATTTAGCCAACATCATCACTAAGTGACAATTTACTAAAAATATATACCTGCAACTAATAAAATGCTAATCCTAACTCTATGTGATATCAACTAAGTGAATTTTCAGTAAAATAATTGTTGGTGAGATGAACAGCACAACCTATTATTAAATAAAAATTGTTATATATCGTTAATAATTGAAATTTAGATTAAAAGACAAAAGTTAACTAAAAAAGAAGTTTCTAAGAGGAAACGAAAAACAAAAGGGTTTGTGGATGATAAATTTGGAAGGCATTGACGACTTCTTTCAAAAAAGTAAAGACATAGACTCTTTACAAATTAAAGACTTACAAAATCTGCTATCTGGTTTTGGTGAATTTTTTGAAGATGAATCAACTATGTTAATTGATGATGATGCAAAAATGGAATTCTTTGTATCAGCGTCAATTGATAGCACTGATATAATTCGTGCTTCCCTAAAATTCTATGGAAAATCTTTGTTTTCTAACATTATAGTTAGTGCTGAGGTTGAAGATAAAAGTGTAAATTGGTATGGCTTAGTAAGTATTATTATATTATCTAATATTGCAAGTATATAAGTATAATATTAATAGCATATTAATAATAATGAATAATAACGAGTAATAACGAAAGTGAAACAAATTTGAAAATAAACAATATTCTTATTATCAAACTACATAAGTAATTATATACTAATATAATGATTATAAATTTTAAGGTATTGTTAATACTCAAATTTTACTAAGTGGCAGACAGAGAGCCATATGAATTCACGTTCATTCAGTGGTATGAAGAAGAAGAGGATGAATTATAGGGGTGCCCAAGATTAAAATTAATTAAGCAATATGGTTGCATCCCAATAAAATGTATAGATAAAACTATTCATATAGTCCCGAGATTTGATAAAAAAAATGAATATTTAGTAACCATTTTTATAGTTTAATATTTAAAATGTTTATTTTTTAAAATAATTATAAAAGTCAAAAGTGTTAAATATTGTACTATATTAAATTAATAATGGAGATTATATAAGCTATAAATAACAATATAACATTAAATACTGTTATAAGCTATAAATCAATAAATATCAAATTATCGAATATATATATACTAACGAAAATATAATATCGATACATATTGTTTTTTTCAATACCCAACACATATCACTAAAATACTATCAATATATATTGATTATTTGATATGTAACGATTTATTTCTTTTGAGGATAAAATTCGATCGTAAAGATATCGATAATTATATAGAAACTAGGCAGTAATATATATCAAACTAACGATATATATCAATAACATATTTTATGATATATATCGTTAGTTTAATATATATTGATTTTATCTATTTATAATATCTATTGTTTGTCAGATATATATCGACGTTTTTATATATTTATTGATATATATCGATATTTTCTAATCGATATATATCGATTTGTTGCTATATATCGATGTATTTCCGGTATAAAAATTTTCCGATGTTTGCTATGTAACAACACTTGTTATGTAATAATATAAATTTTTTTTTTTACTATATAGATGTGAAATAATGCGCAGATGTGTTATTTCAAATTTCAGTTCAGATTAAGTTTAATTTAGGCTGGAATTTAAAATAATGCCCCTGTGTATTAATTCGCATCTATACAGTATATTATTTTATGAAATTGTTTTTTTAAATAATAAAAAATGATAGATTTGGTAGCTTTATTATATAAAGTTTTTTTTTTGTTTTGCAAAGATTTTTTTTTAGCATTATTATTATTATTATTATTAAAAAAAATTTTTTTAATAAAAAAAAGCCAACTATGTAATTGCTTTTGATTGGTCAATTACAAGCAATGAGTTACTATAAACTAATACTTTATTACAATAAATCAATATTATTAGAATTAAATTGCAAATATAATATATAAAAAATTGATTACTTTAGATAATGTGAATGTTATAAACTATTGTTGTTAATAAATTTCAAAATAAATCGAATTAATTTGAGTATGTTAAAATTATTTCAAAAATATTCAAATAAACACACTTTTGCTGTCTTTCTACTCATAGTTTTTTAGATCAATTTTATTTTGATACCTGAATAATTTAAATTATTTCATTTAAACTCTTGTTATATTTATTTATTTTGCTCAATTTTTTTTTTTTTTTTTTTTTTTTTTTTTTTTAAATGTCGACGGGTCTCACTGTGACTAATTTTATTTATTAATATTTATAAGAACTATAAATACATAAATTTCAAAAAAGAAGTTTGACATTACACGGTTCCATATCACGGTGCAAAACCTAACTCAGGCTTATAAGCGACTCTGTCCTACCAGATCACGGATAACTGAAATTATCCAAAAAAAAAAATTCTATAAAAAACGAAAACGAACTATGACTAAAAAGAGGAAATGAGCAAAAGAGGGAAAAGGGAAAAGAGCGAAATAAAAAATAAAAAAAAACCCCCCAAAAAAAAAACCAAGAAAAAATAAAAAAAATTTTATAGAACCAGGATAAAGTGTAAA